ATCTGCCACAACTTCGCAAAAGAAGTGGGAGACGGTGCAAACCTTTTCTATCTCTGCAGGAGAAGGAAAGGCCTCTCTGGTGAACTTGCTTTGAACCTTTGTAAATGTTTACATCAATAGTGTTGTAAATGTTTACATCAATAGTGTTCATCCCTTGGGCTTTTCCGGCAGCCACCAAAAGCCGCCTATTGGTATACCAACTCACCTGCTTGATTTTTTTTTCTTTGTATGACCCTGCAATCCTTTGCTTCAGAGTGGGGTCAGGACGACTGAGTGGGGCTGAGCATTTACTGGCCAGATGCCCTTCCTGACGCCTATGTGGAGTTCACAGCAGATACTGTATGTTCTCTTTGTGCCCTGATAGAGAAACATCGGTCACTGCCTAGAATTGAATTCTCAACCTTCCTAGTTGGGAGGCGAAAGTCTTCACCTCTAGGCCGGCTCAACTAACCTGCTTGATTAAGATTCTGTTATTTCACTCTTCTTTGGTCAGGAAGCAGGCGGTTCCTGGTTCCTGGTCCTTAACAAGTTCAGCCAAATGTACTCATAATGGCTCCTTAGACCTTCTTTGTCAATATGGGAAGGTTCTTGATGAAGAAGGCAGCAGAGAGCTACCCTTGGTTTTCTCCATGTCTGAAGAGGGTACTTACTGGTGACCATCTCAAGACTGGGGATGACTGCATCATGGCAGAGCAGTTTCTTTGCCTGTACAAGCTTCATGCTCATTTTGGCCATTCTCGGAAGAAGGAAGAAAGCCTGCTAGTATCTGTGGGTACTACTGAACTGGTGGCATCATGTTTTGACTTGATACAAGGGAAATGATTTCTGTGAAGTGTTCGACAGTGTAAGGATTGGAATCTCAGCTTTTCTTGTTGACGGGATACCCTATTTACTTCTTGTATGCTTCTAATATATTAATTTCTCCACAAACTAGAATGGGAGAGGGAAATGAAAAGCCTCTCTGACTTAGACAGGCCATCTGCTCAGTGGCTGCCCTATTCTGAGCCTTCTAAAGACAGTAGCTTTTGACATCAGATGATGACTTTTTTCTTTCTACTTTAAAATTGTAGATTGGTTGTATTGGCCAGATTCTTGGTTTTTAATCTCCAAGGTTTTTTTTGTTTTTTTTTAAATCTGTGTTTAAGATTTTATAGTAATTTTACAGTTTAGTGTCATAATGCTTCCTTTAGTACAGTCCTTCAGACTGCTCATAAGTTTTTAACTGTACTGTAAATCACAAAACACTGTGCGACAGAAATATAAAGAGCTGCCTTATAGCAAATCAACTTGTGGCATCTGTCTGTATCCTGTTTTACCCATAGTAAACTTAACCTAGGTTTATGGATTTAATCTAATTTTGGGGGTTCACTGAGCCATGAATTCACGCAGGTTTGGTCAACTACAAGTTAAAAGTGGCAGGCTAGTTTAAATCTGTGTCATGCAAAAACAGTTACTGACTGGCCATATTAGTTGCAGGTTTTTTTTAAATCCAGGCACAATCACATCAATGTTACATTGGACACCTACTACTGGATTTTCTGACCTTAGAAAACTGTAGGTCCAGGGGCCTTAAATTCATCTGAGTGCTGCTGTTATTAGCTAAATAATGTATACAGAATAGGAAATTAATTCTTGATCTGCCTTAGCCATTAGCCTTCTGTGATCTAGAGAAAGTGTTAAGTTGTCATTCTCCCCAATAAATTGACTTCCAGATTTTTGGGGTACAACTTCTATAAGTCCCAGCCAGCATGACCCATGATTGGGGGTAATGGAACTTAAAGTTTCAGAGAGCCATTAAGCTGAATAATGTAGATGCATAACATTCAATCGCCCAGCTCTGATCCTTTAATAAACTTGAAGGTTCTTGTACTTAGTTAAAAGTTCTAAATTTAGCCGTCCTCTGGAACATGTAGTTTGGCTGGCATGGAAAAGTGCTTTCAAGACGTAGAGCTGTATCAAATAAATCTTGATCCTTGACTAACCTTTCCACTATAAGCATTTCTATCTTCACCGGTATTTCTCAGGGTAATAATCAACCTAGGACAGACACTTTTAAGAGCCTAGCAGTGCTCCTAAAGGTATTTGAAGAAGTGAACCAAAGAAATCTAATTAACATGGTCGAGTACTATCACTAGGATAGAGTTAGATGACTCAACTTGAGGCCTCAAGACTTTGTATGGGCCTCCAAAATTCTGGATACATAACCCTTCTAAAAGTTATCCTCAAATTGTAATGTTTAATGTGACACAAGGTGTAAGGTATTAAGTAAGGAAAATATTCACTTGGACAGTATTTTATTCAGGTTTAATAAGTCCTACTTTGTCCTGGTTGTGTTCATGTTTGGGGTGTGATCCTTGGTATATGATCCAAAGGTCAAATAATGATTCTCAGTTGCAAAAATACTGGGCATGTCTGGACAAGAAAAATACTAAAAACATCTCATGCATTTTCATATAGACACTGTATCTTTTCTTTTCTTTTCTTTTAGTTCTTTCCTGAAGAGCCAAGAATATTTCCCATCATTCCACCATGATGGCTACACCCAGGACACTGTTGCCATGTCTTTGGCTTCTTATGCTTTCCGTGAAAACATGCTTAGCTCAAGAGACTTCATCACCACCACCATCACCACCACCAGGATGTGGCAAGGACTTGAACTCCATCTACTACAACCTCTGTGACCTATCTGTCGCCTGGGGCATTGTGTTAGAAGCCGTGGCCAGCTTTGGTGTTGTTATCAGCTTTGTCCTCACTGTGGTCCTAGTGGCCAGTCTGCCTTTTATCCAAGACTATCGGAAGAAGAGCTTAATAGGGACTCAAGCTTTCTTTCTGTTGGGCACTTTAGGGCTTTTCTGCTTGACCTTTGCTTTCATTGTCAAGCAAGACTTCTCAACATGTGCTTCACGACGTTTCCTCTTTGGTGTCCTCTTTGCTATCTGCTTCTCCTGCCTGGCTGCCCATAGCCTCAGTCTCAATTTCTTTGCACGGCAAAACACTGGGCCTCGGGGATGGGTCACCTTTGGCATGGCTTTGGTTCTCGTCTTGGTTGAAGTCATCATCAACACTGAGTGGCTCATTATCACTGTGGTGAGGAATGATGGTACTGCCAAGGATCCTTGTGAACTGAAGAACGAAGACTTTGTCATGGCACTCATCTACGTAATGTTCCTGCAAGTAGCTACTTTTATTGCTACTTGGCCGGTCTTGTGTGGACATTACAAGCACTGGAGAAAGCACGCCGTTTTCATTCTCCTCACAACTTCCTTTTCCATGGCCATCTGGATAGTATGGATTGTTATGTATGTTTATGGCAACCGGCAGGACCAGAGATCAACTTGGGATGACCCCACATTGGCTATTGCTCTTGTCTCCAATGCAACGGTTTTTGTTTTGTTTTATGTCATTCCTGAGATTTCTCAGGTGATCAAGCCGGGACCAGAGCAGGCCTATGAGGATGATGTCTACCCCACACGGGGGGTTGGCTACGAAACAATCCTCAAGGAGCAGAAATCCCAAAGCATGTTCGTAGAGAACAAAGCTTTCTCAATGGATGAACCTTCTTCAGGTAGGCATGTGATATTGATGAGGAGATCGGGGGTGGGGGAGATACAATGCGATCAGAGGAACTGCATGCAGGATTATGAATTGACGTACAATCACAACTGGGGCCAGAATTTCATAGTTAAGCAAAACAGTTGTTAAATGAGTTGTGCCCAATTTAATGACCATTTTTTTTGCCACAGCTGTTAAGTGAATCCTGTAGTTAAGTGAATCTGGCTTCCCCCATTAACTCTGTTTATCAGAACCCAGCCAAGAACAAATGGCAAGCCCAGGACCAGGGGAGTCTGGAACCATCTTAAATACATGCCACATGTCAAGGGTCCAAATTTTCATTAAGTGACTATGGGGACACACTGCAACAGTCATAAGTTTGAGGGGCAGTTGTAAGTCACTTTTTTCACTCCTGTTGTAACTTCGAATGGTTTCTAAACAAATGGTTGTATGTCAAGGACTAATTGTCCTGAAAAATTATTTACTCTGCTTCTCTCCCCCCTCCCCACCTCTTTTTAGCATAATGTTGCCTATGGGTGGGTATCTTAGTCATCGGTATCTGTGACCCAGCTGGAGAAGACCAGAAAAATAGATGCATCTGGTGGTGATAGAGAATCAGGTTCACACAACTGCCTCTCTCAGGGTGTGCTGTTATGGTTGTCTGAATTTGTAGATTCCCAGGATATCCTGTAATCTGTACAAGAATGGTGCTATCATTGTAGCACAGTTTTGGGGCAGGGAGGTTAGATAGCATTAATGCAAGCAAACTGGCCATCTGATTTCTAGTCTATGATGTTATAACAGTTCTTTGTCTCCTCTAATTTTGTAGTTGAATTTTCTAACTCTGTTGGACAGTAGCTCCGTAGATGGAACAATATTTTTTTTCATAGCACGAAAATTCAGACAGGTTTGCTAAATCTCAATAATTGGGGCTTTCTGTCTTAAAATATACATGTAAATAAAATGATAAAGATTTAAGGCTATATTTTAACGGGAGGAAGTAAGTCTAGTGGAGTTTACATCTAAGTTTACATAGTGATAACTGAGAAGTAAACTTATTATGTACTTACAAGTTTCTAGGCTTATACCTTCAGAAATATCCCTATATTTTGAAATGTCCAAAAACTGCCTGCTGAGAAAGATAAAAATGTAACACTATAAATAAAAACCAAGGTATCACATTAAAACTATTTACAGCTAAGGTAAAATCAATTTAGAATAGCACATCCAGCAGCTGAGTTCACCTTTTTATTTTATATGATTTGAAGAGAAACTGGCTAAGATCAGATGCAATGCAGGGTAGAACTTGTTGATTATGTATCACAGACATGTCAAACACAAGGTCCGGGGGCCGGATGCGGCCCGCGAAGTGCTTTCATGTGGCCTGCGAAGCCATCCTGGAAACAGTGAGGGAACGGCCCCCGCTGCCTTGGCCCTGGCCCAGGCCGGCCAGGAGCCAATGTACAATTTTGTGGTGGCCATCTATGCTGAAATGCATTCAGTCTTAGCTCCATAAGCCCCCCCCCCCCGCATGGCCTGAGAGGAACAGCGAGGCTCTTCCAGTGGACCATGCCTTGGCGCTTGCCCCGGTCCCACCCCCTTCTGCCAGAGACCCTCAGATCTATCCCACTCCTGCCCAGGCCCCCACAGGCACCCTTGATGCGAACGATGTAGAACTGGCCATGCCCACCCAGTAGGCCACACCTACTTCATCCATGCCCACCCAGTAGGCCGCACCCACCCTGGCCACACCCACCGGCCCCCTGAGGGCAACTGCAATGCTGATGCGGCCCTCAATGAAGTTGAGTTTGACACCCCTGATGTATCATATACAAATGGACTCAACATAATAAGCAAGATTTATTTTAAGCCCATACTGTCAGTTTGAAATTATGGCTTATTGTCATTGGCTTACTGATTACATCAGCCATATTGCTGGGGCTGAAGAGAGCTGACCTTCAGAGCATCAAAACAATCAACATTGTCTCGTGAGTGCCATAAATCCAGATGGATTGTTCTTGTTCACAAAAAGTCTCCAAGCACCTTGAGCTCATTAAAACTTACTTTGTCTATAGTTACCCACAAACAAGACTTTGTTTTATGGGCGGCTTATGAAAGAAAAATCCCAGTAGCTTTCTGATGGCTTTTTCATTGGACTGCATTGATCAGACGATGCTAATAAGCAACAGCAACCCACTGGAAAGAATTATAGCTGTGTGTTTATACAGGTGTACTTGTAAGAAAGGATGCCATTAATTTGGAGAAGAGCTGTAAGGATTTAGCTTTTTTTTTTTTTTAAGTATACACTTCTATACAGACTTGTGACTTTATTTGTTAGGGTCTCTCTCGCTCTCCCTTTTCCTATTTTTATTTTTTTTATGCTCCTGGAGCTATATAAAAGTAGCTGGACACATAAACCCAGTGTGCTAAGACTTTAATACACCTTTACAGGTAGTACTTGACTTACAACTTTAACTGAGCCCAGAATTACAGTCATAAGTCATGGCTGTTGTGAAACGGTGCACCCAACACAGTGGTTGTTAAATGAGTCCCTTTTCCCTAATGGGCATTTTTTTTTCAGAAACCAGAAGTATACATGGGAGGCCAGCAAAAAACAAAAATGCCAAAACCTGCAGTCACCTGACTGTGGGATACTGCAAACAGTTGTTGGAATTTTGGCCCCAAAATTGTTTTTAATATAATCTTTCTCTTATTTCATATGAAATCCTACAGACTCAGGGGGAAGCTTTCTAACGAGGCTGTGCTAGAAAATCGGGTCTAGGACAACTCAGCATGGCCGACTCACTGCGGGACAAGAGTTATACTAATATCAAAGAAATGGTAGAATAGAATAATTAAAAATAGGATACAAAAGGAGGGAAAAAATAAAATGTGAATGACAGAAATTAAATTTTTTAAAAATTATTTTAAATACTTAAATTGAATCATTGAATTGTTCCGCAGTGAGTTGTCCTGCTGCGGTGAGCTGGCCACGGGGAGTTGGCCGTGGTGAGTTGGCTGCGGCAAGTTGACCACACTAAGTTGTCCCATTCCGAGAAAATCAACATAATTTTACATCTAGCAACCAAGTCATACAAGTTATTGACCATCATTCTTCTCCAGAGCTTGTCATTCAAACCATGCTATCTAGTTTTGCTCTTGAAAATGTTTGTAATAGTGTACTTAAATGTTATTGTCCTGTGGTTTCTCTCATTCCAGCTAAAAAGCCTGTGTCCCCGTACAGCGGATACAATGGGCAGCTTCTGACAACTGTCTATCAGCCCACAGAGATGACTTTAATGCACACTGGGCCTGTAAGTGAATGTGCGGTTGTGCTGGCAGCTGCTTCTCCTTCTCCTCTTGCTTGTCAGTAGAAGAAGACACCATCCTTGACCAGAGAAATGAAAGCTTGTCTGAGAGGTCAAATCCAAAAACTATGTCAGATATAGGTTGGAAAGGGGTCATCAGAAGCAGGAGACATTTGAGGGTATAGTTTGTAAATAAAAGCTGGATAGTCTCATGGCTGTTTCTGCGCAAACGTTTTTAAAAAATGTTTAAATGGCAAATTCATGGTTTTTTAATCTTGATTTTTTTTTGTATATATCTATCTATATCTATCTATCTATCTATCTATCTATCTATCTATCATCTATCTATCTATCTATCTATCTATCTATCTATCTATCTATCTATCTATCTATCTATAATTCCATTTTCAAAGAAAAAACAATGCAAATAAAATTAAAATAAACAATTTACCCTTTAGAGATACTTAAGAAAAGAAGAAACATTATGCAACAAAATGAAGAAACAAAAACTATGATTACAACTGTGTAATGCCTATTTACCAAACACAGAAGGATATGAGATGGCAAATTCCCTTGATCTCTCTTTTCCTAAGTAGAGAAAGTTTAGCTCAGTTGTTGCTTAGGTCAGGGGTCCCCAACCCCCGGTCTGTGGACCAGTACCGGACTGCGACATGCCAGCAACTGGTCCGCATAAACAAGCAAAGCCCCATCCGCGAGATGCAGGCAGCACACAAAACCACGCACCCTCCAGTCCATGGAAAAACCTCTCTCAACGGAACCGGTCCCTGGTACCCAAAAGGTCGGGGAACCTCTGGCTTAGGTTATGAAGATTTGTTCAATTACAGTTACTCTCACCTGAATTGATATTGCTTGGCTTACATTAATTTAGTGCCTCAGGTGTTTCCTGTGAGAGCCAGGCCTTCTGCAGCAGTTTTCTGGGCAGCTGTTATTGAGGTTTTGATCCTGTACAATTAAAGAATCGAGAGGTCTAAGGGTTCAGGAAAGGCTTGAAAACTTGAGTTGAGGGTCTCAAGTGAAATGGCATAAATTATGCTCACTCTTCCTGAATAGTGACCTTTAATTACTGTTTAACAGTAGTTTGCCTTTGAAATATCTCAGTCTTCCTTGAGCTATTCAGTTTTCCCCCCTGCACAATTCTAAGCCTACATCCTAGTTACCTAAGCTAATAAATGTCAAGGCTAGTTTGACGGAGCTTAGTGAGACTCTTAAGCTTATAACTGTGTTAGGAAATGAGAACATACAAGAGAGGGGCCCTCGGTGCTCTCTGAGCTTGGTTGTTTTCTTGCAAATGTTTCATTACTCAAGCTAGATAAGCATCATCAGCACTGATGATGTTACCTAGTTTGGGTAATGAAATGTCTGCAAGAAAGCAACCAAGTTCAGAGAGCACCAAGGACCCCTTCCTTTCAACCCTGAGCTACAAATATTCCCCTTTATTGAAAATACAAATCTGTGAAAAGCCTTTTTTAGTGCCTTACAAATATTTCGGAATCAGCAATAATGGTTTTGGTTTCTTTTGCAATGACAAGTCATGTTTCAAAAACATGATTATACTTTTTACCCCATTTTTACTATTTATTATTTTTATTGGCTCCAGCTGGATGCCCCTTACGATGTCATCCTCCCTCGTGCTACGGCCAACAGCCAAGCGATGGGCAGTGCCAATTCTACCCTGCGTGCTGATGATGCTTATGTTTCACAGAGTAAGCAGGCATCGGCTCAGAAAGATGGAAGGAACGGGCAGATGAGCGAAATGGTAAGCTTTGGACTATTCTGTTGTACTCTTAGGAGCAACTGGATTCTCATCCCTCCCAGCCACTGATATAATTAGTGGATCTGACCTTTCTACTTATATGCTGCGGGTAAAATAGATCAGTCTGTCTCTTTCCCAGTTACATTCCTAATGTAAAGAACCTAACATCTTAATGTCTTAATGTTTTGCTTTAGGCTTCATCTCCATATAGCAAGCACAGATGGTAGAAGTTTTGAGTCCTGATCTCCACACATCCTGTTCCTTGAGGATGCCTTGCAAAGCCTGCCTCCACAAAGAAGCATCTAACTGAGGCAAGGCCTCAGATAGACATGGAGATGTCATCTTGGGAACTGAGAAGATTTCATCTTGGTTGCTGAGGCAATGTGTTTCTTTTTCTTCTGCATAAACCAAGTGTTCTACTTGACATCTGTTACAGTCAATCTGGGTCACTGGGTCAGGATGCCACTTCCTATTCTATGTTCCAAACAGTGAGCCTTCTATTCTCCTTGGAGCCTTCAGTCAAATTTATAATTCCACCTCTGTTTTGCCCGTGTTTTGAGAGCCTCCCTTATTTTCACCCCACCAATGATGGACCACATTCAGTGTGTTGAATCGTGTTCATTTTGTACAAATATGGCGTTATGAGTGCTGAGAAGTTCCAATCTACAGTTCACAGTTCAGCCTCTTGTGGATGAATAGATGGTCCCTGCATCTTCCCATCTCATGTTCACTCCCACAAGGGAGTGCTTTGGAAATTAGAAGGGTATCACTCCAATTCTAAATAGAGGCCATTCTTCTTAATGGAGAGAGAGAGAAACTGGTCAAATGTAGCAAGAACTCTTGTTTGAAGTATGTTGTGCTTTCTCCTAATCCTTCTGCCTTTGGACCAAACCCTGGAATGTGACATCATGGTATTGTTCTTGGAATCTTTATTATCTCCTCTTCTGTTAACCCCTCCTTATTACGAAAATTAAGGCTGCATATCTTTTTTAAAAAAAATGCTTGGTGTTTACTTTGAATGTCTGTGTTTATGCACCAGGGAGGATCTACTTTACATTGTGGTCAGAGTCTAAACATTCTTACCTGACGTTGACAACCAACTTGGTGATTGAACATGTTGGAGACACCATTGGACATGAAAGAGGGAAGCCATATTAAAATGATACTTTATTTCATGACGTATAAAATGCTGGGACTTGCAAGACTGCTGTCAGTAACTGTTTTGTCAAAAAGGTTCGTTGCCAATTGTGCTTTCAGTATGGATAAGCCTTCCTTAACTTGATCTTCTCTAAATTTTAAGGACTACAACTATCATCCAAGCCAGAGTGGGAGTGCAAGATAACTGGTAGACACAGATTGGGAAAATAAAAAAATGCAGAACTTTGAAAGGAAAATGAAGGAATTTAACTGCAAGGAATGGCCAGAGGGCTCCATAATGCAAGAGATGGGTGGTGTCATGTAACTGCACAAACTATTTCAGTTTTCAAGGATTATGCTGTTGAAATGGAATTTTGCTACAGAATGGATGCTGTTAGGCTTAAAAACATCTGGGAGTGGCAGTTTCACTACAGAAATGTAATTGTCTCTTTTTGGCATTACTCATCCTGCTTTACCTCATCCTCCCTAGGTGAGGATGAGTTATCCCATTCAAGATATTTTATTCTGCTGACTTATTCTTTCTCATCTTTTTGTGCTGTTCTTTTGGGAATTATTCAGGCTCTGGCTTTAATTTGAAATAACATTTTCCCCCTGTGTAGAGTTGTCTCCCAACCACCTCTGATAAAATGCACAGTCATATGCCTCAATAGATCTGTTTGATATGCCTTTGGTCCTTTTCATGGTATCCCACTTTCTCTTCATGCCTTGGTGTGCTAGTTCCTGGCTTATAGCCTGCCTGTCCTTTTGCCACTAGGATCATTGTGTGCCATTTTTCTCTTTGCCTCTTTTCCCCTCTTTGGGCAGAAAAGGGATGCTGTTTCTCTCTCCTATGCTGGCAGGAGAAAGAAGCTACCTTGATAAAAAGAAGCACTTGCAAGCACTGTGCTTCTTGCAATGCCTTTTCGTCAGGTCTTCTCCTGGCCTCCTAGACTGATATCCTCTGAAATTTAGCTTGCCTTTGTTGTGTAAGCATTTTGAGCAGGCAAATTCTTTTCAGACTTCTTCAACCTAGGAGCCTCCAAATGTGCAGGGACAGTGACTCCACGAATGTTTTTGGACCGTGTTCTGATTGGAAAGGTGTTCTCTACTGTCCGTAGAAGGACCATACCCTGCCTGTAGAGTCTGTGCTCAGGAAGTGGAAGGACCAACTTGACACTGACTCAGACCATGGCTAGTCTTGAAGAGGCTTGCATTGAGTCATGATTTCTGCCTGTCTTGCTGAGAATGCTGTTCTGTGCCTTGCTAGGGTATGTGTGTGCTTCTAGCTCTTGGCTGAAAGATTCTCTGCTTTGATAATGAGGAATGATGTAATCTCCCTCTGCTAATGCAAGCTGAGTAAATGGCAGAAGACTATTGAGGGCTGTCCCTGACTGCTGTTTCATCCAAACTATCCTTTAAGCTGGGATTGGGGAAATGGTTCTTATCGGATGTGGCTTTTTAAATTCCGAATTGTCTGACAAATTAAATATTTTTTTTTCCTAAAAGTGGCTTCTGACTTCTTGTTTTGTCATATTCTTTTGTGGGTTTGAGAACAAAGGAGGAGGAGTTGACAAAAAAAAGGGCAAAAATTAAAAATATTTCTCTTCTGACTCTTTATTGTGCATATCCTAACTCCGTGGTGGTGAACCTATGGCATGTGTGCCACAGGTGGCACGCAAAGCCTTCTCTGTGGGCACGCGTGCTGTCGCCCCAATCCTAGGCCTTCAGCTGTGTTTTATAAAACCTTTTCGCTTTAGGCCTCTGCCGCCATGTGCAAAAAACCCAAACATTCAATCAATTTCAACTTCTCGCGGGAAAAAAAAGATCTCGCAAAGTTGGAATTGATTGATTGAACTTTTTAGTCCAGTGGTTCTCAACCTTTTTAATGCCGCAACTCCCAACCAGTCGTAAGTCGAGGACTAAACCGTTCGTAAGTTGAGGACTAAACCGGTCGTAAGTCGAGGACTACCCAACCGGTCGTAAGTCGAAGACTTTCCCTGCCCGGGAGCGCCGTGCATGCGTGGTTCCGCCCCATGCGCTGGCCGAGGCGTAGCTGGCAAGCGGCAGAGATGGAGCAGGCCAACCACCAGCTGGCCCAGCCCAAGGGAGGTAAGGCACCCGCCGGAAAAGGGGAAAAAATGGCGGACAGCCTTGCTTGGCGACCCCCGTGAAATGGTCGATCGACCCCAAATGGGGTCGCGACCCATAGGTTGAGAACCGCTGTTTTAGTCCCACCCTGTCTGCCGTTACCACCGCAGCCATGCCCACCCAATGGCCACACCCACCTGCCACCCGCCAATACATAAGTGGGTTTTGGGTTGCAGTTTGGGCACTCAGTCTCTAAAAGGTTCGCCATCACTGTCCTAACTGATGGCTTCAGCTACTTAATAGGAAGGGCTTGGATTTCCCAGAATGTTGAACTTGATTATTCTATGATTTGAAAACTCAGATCTTTTTATTTGACACAGGATTTATTTTCTGGACAATGTATGGAACATATTCTGTTCCAGTCTGGGCAATGTTTTTGTTTTATTCTTGTTCTTTTCTTTTTAACATTTTTTAAAGGTTGCCTTAAAAGACAAGTACTCTGTCTGGGTATTTATACTAATAATATTACCTGTAATACATTTTGAAGCAATAAACATTGACTCCAACATTCTCTCTTTTTTTCCAGCATACAGGAATATTCTTCCTTGTGGCCATGATTTCCCATCAGAATTATTGAATGAGAGTCCCCTCATCTTTGTACCAGATGTCCCAAAGTGCTTTTCAAAAGGCAACTGGGCTTTCTGATTTTTTTTTTCTTGGAAATGTTTCACTTCTCATCCAAGAAGCTTCTTCAGTTCTGAAGAAGAAGCAGAATTGAAGAAGCTTCTTGGATGAGAAGTAAAATGTTTTCAAGCAAAAAACCCAAGACAGTCCATTTGCCTTTTGAAAAACACTTTTGGGACAACTATGCCCTGAATCAGGGGTCTTCAAACTTGGCCCTTTTATGACTTGTGGACTTCAACTCCCAGAATTCCTCAGCCAGCATGGCTGGCTGAGGAATTCTGGGAGTTGAAGTCCACAAGTCATAAAAGGGCCAAGTTTGAAGACCCCTGACCTGGATGATTGAGAATCTCCATAGACGCTCTGTACCAGATGTTGTGGAACTAAAGAAATAAGGTGGCAAGGCCCTATTTTCTGTGTGCTGATAGCATTTCAACCTATCTACAAGCAGGGGATCTTTCATTATTTAGGAGTCCAGTGATCAAGAACTGGCTACCTATTTCCTGCTAAAATTGCAGATTTGTTACCTCTCTTTAGGGCTGTTGCTATCTTCAAGTTACAAGCAGTTTATCTTGAATACCAGCTGCTAAAGAATAACAAAGAAGCTACACTATCTAGTTGGGCACTATGTGACAAAGAATGCTGCATCAGATAGCCCCTTGGTCTGATTCAGCAGGCTCCTCTTGGGACCTTCTGGTTCTGTCACTCTTTTACAGAAGTACAGTGGTTGGCTGGTTGTCATTGTGGTGTATTCCAGCCTCTCTAGACTGGTACTCATGTAGCTGTATTAGTCTTGCAATTCTCTGAATTTCTAGCCAATTGTTTTTTGCTCTTCTACAAACTTGGAGGTGGGGTGCCAGTACAGAGATAGTGATTTTTTTTTCTCAATAAGGATATTTTTGTCCTTAGTGGAGCACTTGGTGCTCTCTAAGCTTGGTTGTTTTCTTGCAAAATTTCATTACCAAACTAGGCAACATCATCAATCCATTCTTTTCTTTCTCCTTATATGGTGATTTCAGGCCAGATTAGGCCAGTACATGATGGTGCTAACTACAAGAAAAAGAAACTGCACATTATATTATTAGCTTATAGCCCAACCATGGACTTGACAGTTTTAGGAGTAGCAGTAGACCTCTTTCTAAAATAATTATATTTTGAATGGAGAACACAAGTTTGTAGTTGTCCTCTGAAATGGTGAGCAAAATTTGTGAATGTATGATGTATGTCAAGATCTTCCAAAAAATATTTCTGCAGACTCCACTTTTATAGGAATAGCGTCAACAGTGTTGAACAGTATCAACAGAACCAGTGTTCTAACTACAGCTATATTGTGTTCTGCCCAAAAAAATGATGATTTAGTTTTTTAAAAAAAGAGCAGCAGTTTATTAGTCCATCTAACATCGTGGGCGCTCTTTTTAACATGTCTAAAAAACTGCTACGTGGTCTATTTGCTGAAATGCTCCACAAAATTTGTTACTATGCTTG